ATGCAAACACAACTCACTCTTATTCCAGCGTTGTTTTGAAGAACACCTCAGCAATCAACTGCAATTAACTGATACAAATAAAACAACTACATAAGCGTATAGGGACACGCAACAACAATGTTTACGTCGATACTAGGGATGTTAAGTGATGAAGAAGGAAGCAAAAGCAACCCAATAATGAACGACATGAGCGCCAACAGGCAGACGACCGTACACAAGTGGATAGTGAGAGAAACCATTCAAAAATAAGTAGTCAAAGCTTTTGGATATGTGGTGGGGCATGGAAGCTGATAATATACACCAACAAAGGCAAAGCGATGATGACTGAAGAAGAAGCATTGAAACAATGCGTAACATTCCGCAGGAGTGAGTGAGTTTTGTGCTAGTCTCATCTGGAATTTCGTTCTCAATTCAAATGTTGGTGCTGGCGCTACTGCTGATGGTGATTATATTGTTGTTTGTTTAGTTAGTTGTGTTGCAAAAACAACCCTACTAGTGAGTTTGTACGAATTAAATTCGGTAACTGGCCGAGTAGCCATACATTATGATGTTTCTCTGCTGACGTTGCGGCACTGTTCACTTGGTTACGTTCGTACGACGGAAACGGAAATAATAGTAAGCTGATAAAAAAAAAGGAAGAAAGATGCGCACAAAACATAGATGGGGAAACTGTGGACCAAAATAGATGTAAAGCAGTTGTTGCTGTTCAACCAGCAACCAAACGGGAAGCGAAAGGAATGCAATATACAACAAAATGAAAAACAGAAGATAAAGAAAAAGTGAAAAATGATTGATACTAGCAATTTCTTAGCAGGCGAGTTTTAAGGGATGAAATATGTCGAAATAGTTTGAAGTGCTTGGTTGCTAGACAGAACAATTTAAGTATGAATGACTTTTAAATAGAGGCAGGGAAACAGGTGTTGCGCGATCTAAGGCAATTGAGAACGAAAACATTATTGCAAACTGATTTCACAATATATTTTACTATGTAGTATGTTTATTTCATCTGTATAACATAGGGTTTTGAACTCCATTTATAATATAATATACATCTTATATGATTTTAAAATGTACGAATTTTTTTATTATTATTATTTATTTTGTGTAATCATTTAGCAAGAAGAAACTTTTAAAATATTTCGAAATAAAATAACTGTCTACTGAAATGAGTGGCACTTTTAAACAAACACAACATTTTTAAAGAACTATGTATATTTTCAAAAGGTAGCCAACATTATTTTATAGTAAATGCATCGGTTAATCACAACTTTTCTTATAGAAGTATTGTATCGCGTATAGCACATGAAACGCCGCAAAAGAAATGTGATTAATTGGCAACGAAATTACTTTAATACACATGTATGTACCTAAGCATGTATATGCATACATATTTTACAATCCGAGTAAAGATTAAGTTGGATCACTAAATTTATTTTCATGAAAGACAGCGTTTATGTTAACGTTAAAAATCAACAAATTTCTTATTGACTTCTTATAAGTCAAGCGCAAAAATTGCTTTTGGAACACAACACAAAAGTAAATACGACATACATACATGCATATATTGAAATAGGCCTAGTGGTTTCAGAAATATATTTCATTTTCAACATTTTCGTATTTGTTGTGCGCGAACACGCATTTCAGTGCTAAACTCGTTAAATATGCAAATAATCCACAAACAGGCGATAACTTGTGACCGCATTGGTGTTTGTAATGGCAAAGGGCTGTTGCTGATATGCCGCCATCAGCACTGAAACCACAAGCATTTGTATACGGGTATATAAAAAAGAAACCTATGTATGTACTTTATTTCACCATCGTTTAGCATAAAAACTACACTATGTCACCCTTTAAAAACGTCGATTTGTTAATATTTATGTGATTAATGCTTCACCAACCATAAAAAACTTCATAACCTTTTTCACATAAAAAAAATATTGATACATATACTGAAGCAATATGCATATAACTAGATTCAGTTTTAAGTTTGTAAATATCCGAAAACTTGCTGAATATTGTCTCAAACGGCCCGGCTGCAATAACTGCAACTAAAGCACCAACAAAGTAAAATGCAATGATGAAGGCAACTGCTATTGGATTTTGCAGCATCCACTATATTAAGCGAGTGTGTGTGTGCTTATTGGACCCCATACCTGTTACMACCTCCCCTTTATATCTTTCCAAACACAACAAACGTTTGCTTTCTCTCTCATTCGGTCTAGTGGACTAAGAGAGAGCGGCTACGAAGTAAACGTTAACATTATAAAAAAAAAAAGAGCGCACGAAAGCAGCGCAGGATGCCATCGTCGTCGCAGTAACAGCAGACTTTTTACCGTTGCTCATACGACGGCAGTGACGCTGACGTATACGTAGTTGCTGAGAGCGCTGCTCACGGCTCGCTACTGATCACAGCAGGGGGAAACTGCACTCCAACAACATATTATATATAGCAAAAACAGCAACTTGCGAAATTTTACAATCTGATTAGTGGGCAAAATTCGTTCATAATTTAAAGAAACTCTTTCACTTTATTAAATGCACTTAAACACTGGTATTGCTATCCAAGGCATTATGTATATAGTTGCTCGGCCGCTGCGTCGTTCTTTGCCAACTTGGCTCAAGTGTCATGTACACTATTACATTGCAACTAGCTTTTGCGATAAAAGCGACAAATCACTTATTTTGCACAACAAAAATTTTGAAACACTGCACATGAATACGACAAACAAAAAAATTACTGCGAACTAACTTCTCAAAAAGCAAACGGCGACAACAGCAGCGACGTTGGCGTCATTGTCGAACTAGCAAGGAAACAACAAGAGTAGCAGCAACGAAAAAAATTTTCTTATGCKCTAAAAGGTTGCGAATTGCACTCTTTCTTTTTGTATAATTTACACTGCACTTGTGCCATTATCGTTGGGAACTTTTCTGTGATAATTATACCGATTTTCTTCACTTTGGTGCTGTTTTTACCGTAGTAAAGTAATTTTTTCGAAATTTTCACTCCTTGCTGCCGTTTTTTCGATTCGTCGCGACTCGTCGTAGGATGATTTATGTCGCTGCCAGATGTTAGAAATAGTAAATAACCACAATCTAATTTGAAGGGGATTAAAAGAAACCACAAAAGAATTAAAGTATAAAAAATAACAAATAATACTACTAATTACTAGAAAACAAAGTATAATATTTATGCAAAAATATTTTTTGATATCAAGAAAGTTCCATCTATTCAGTTTTTTAAAATTATTAAAAAATGTAATTGCAAGCGTAAAAAATTAATTGAGTAGACTACATTGAAATCGGAAGGGTTGCATTTTATGCGCAACAGTCTTGTATTGTATTTTCGTGGATTATTGCTTTGAGGGAATTGTATTCCAAAGTCATTTGCTATTATAAAATAAAATAATATATATACATATATTATGTTAAAAATTCATAAAATAAAATAATTTTGTAAATTGTGAACTGTATTCAAATTAATAATTATTATAAATGTTTAATAGTAATTTCGAAATATGTTCACTTAAAAGGTGAGGGCTAAAGTTTTGCACAACTATGCGAAGGAATTTTTGTATTAAGAGTTTGCTAGCTTACAATTGGTAACACTTCAAATACTAATACCCTACTTAACCCTGCGACATATGCTCTACCTTTCCGGTTGTCAAATTTCACACAGCTTGCAGCACAATTCGAGCGCTGGTGATTTTTTCATAGTCAAAGTTCAAAGAAGACTAATAAAATACAAAAATGGCTTTCGGCGATGTCTCAACCCCACAAGGTCTCAAGGAATTGGAGAAATTCCTTGCTGACAACAGCTACATTAGCGGGTAAGTGTTGTTAAAATGCAAAATTTACTGCGGCACACAGCCGCATCGAAAGTGAGGTTATGTGTGGCAATCTCGTCACGTCGGCAAATTGTTTAACAACATTCTTGCATATTTATTTCAGATATTCGCCAAGYAAAGCTGATCTTTCAGTGTTCGAAGCTTTGGGCAAAGCACCAGCCGGTAGCTTTCCACATGTGCAACGTTGGTATCGTCACATTGCTTCGTTTGAAGCTGTTGAACGCGCCGCCTGGGGTGGTTCTCCACTGCCACAAGTGGCCGGTGCTAAGCCCACAGTTGCTGCTGCACCAGCTGCTGATGATGACGATGATGTAGATCTCTTCGGCTCTGATGACGAAGAAGAAGATGCAGAAGCTGCACGCATACGTGAGGAACGTGTTGCTGCCTATTCTGCTAAGAAATCGAAGAAACCCGCGCTTATTGCCAAGTCATCAGTATTGCTGGATGTCAAGCCATGGGATGATGAGACCGATATGAAGGAAATGGAAAATAACGTACGCTCTATTGAGATGGACGGTCTTTTGTGGGGTGCCTCCAAGTTGGTGCCAGTCGGTTATGGTATCAACAAATTACAAATTATGTGCGTTATTGAAGATGATAAAGTATCTATCGATTTGCTGACCGAAAAGATTCAGGAATTCGAAGAYTTCGTACAATCCGTTGATATTGCTGCCTTCAACAAGATCTAAGCAAGGCGGTGACCGCTAACATTTGAAATTAAATTCCTTTTTTTGACTAATGAAATGAAAATATAAGAAGCAAAKCACAGCATAGTTCMAAGTGTATTTTTTAATTATTTATTTGACTGTTTCTGTCATTTTAGCGTTCATTGAAATTCAMAATTTCTATTGGTTGTCATGATTTGTTGAAAAAGTTCAGGTTTGTTATAGAAATCAACAACAATAATCAAAAATTGTTTTCGTTGTACAACAGGGTGCTAATTAGGTATAAAAATTCGCAGCATAAAGAGTTCGTGTCTTAACTCCTCTGTTTTGTTTTGTGTGTTCAAGTCATGTATAATCGGAGCTTTTACTTGAGCCCCTCACCGCTACTATTAAGCTTGTGCTACGGCGCGTTGTTCATCTTCGTTGCTGATCAACCTATACACGATCTCTCCTCACAATCAATAAGTTGAACGCTAAAATTCGCAAGCATTTCGTGTGTCTGCCTCAGTTGTTTAAAAAACGCGAGCGTGAGAAGACTGCTAGCGGAACAGGAAAACCAAATCGCGCTTAACCAGCCAGCTCCCAGTGTAGTGCTATATATTGACTTAACGCATAATTTACACACCTACATAATCGATAAAAACATTTTATTACCTTTATACGAATAAAAACTAAAATTAAAAAATCTAAATAAACAATGGCCAACACCTACTACGGTAAATATTTGATTGCTGCGCTGCTTTGCGTGGGCTTTGCTATGCTGATCAATGCACAGGGTGAGAATAAATTCTGATTATTGTTTAATATTATTTATGTTTGTGCGATTGAGGTGTGAAGCGAAGACAACTAATGATTTTGAATTGTATGGGAAATACTCACATATGTACATATATATAAATTATATTGTTTCTAAAATTTAATGTGTGTAAAAACATGCAAATWATTAGCAAAGCTAGCAAATTCGAATTGTAGAATAAATGCTATAGAGTCATTTAGATTAGTTTCATTATGAAATTATAACTGCTGAAGCGGCTAAATGACAGCAGGTCCGGCTTCAGCGTATTAAATTAATATTTGTTAGCGCTTTTGTTCTTATTTCTCTATTTTTAATTTTTTATACGAGTTTAGCGGTGATGAGTCTTTCTTATGCATGTTTATATCTATATTTGTATTTGACAACAATGAGTTTCTGCTGCCATTCTTTCAAATATTTATAAATATTTATTCTTTGCCATTTATTTGTTAATTTGTAGCTAAACAATAAAAACTTGTATTGTAGCATGTTTAAGTGAAAGAACAGGAAATATTTTCGGCCAATATTGAGCATTAGCGAAGTTGATATATATATTTCAACCATAAATATGTATGTATATAACAAAACAAAGTTGTTTMATTTTTCAAATAAAATATATTAAAAAAATTAAAATTTGTTTTCAGGAACTTTTTGTTTGACAACTTATACATCTTTTTCTGGAATGAATAAAAATTAAAAATATATTTTTTTA